AAAGTGTTGTCTCAGGTTGTCTCGTTGAAAAGGGAGTGGCATTTATTACATTTGAATTATTTTCCACTGTCTCTTCATCAATTTCCTCCTCTCCTTCTTGCTCTTTCACACTCCTTCTGGCTTCCGAAGTCTCAGCTTCAGGCTGAGCCTCATCCAGCCCTGTATCCCCCATTTCATTGACTGTAGATCTGTCTGTTAGAAGTTTGTGTAAGAGATCATTTCCATTTAAATGGCCAACTATAACTGTCAGGTTTTTTGTCAATGCATTGCCATCTGACATGTTTGCATGTATCTTTCTGTACCCAACCAAAACTTTTCTAACACATTTTGTCCCATTTATATAGGCTGTTAGGTTTTTCTCAGTTGTAATTGTTGGCTCTTCGGTCGATTCACTGATGTTTGTGAAAGGCAGTGGGGTGGCAGATGGGGTGGCTATGTGAAAGGTGGAGTTTTGGCTGGTATGTCTGGGTGTCGCGACAGATTGTCTTCTAAAATTGTTTTCAACGTTTCCCTCCTGAGATCTTGTCTCTTTCATTGTCAGTGCAAATAGTTTACCACCAGAGAAAGGATAAGCTGAGTCTACATTAGGGTTTCTTGGTCTCGGAGGATACCATGTTCTTGACTTATTTGAAGAAGGCACAATTATTTCCCTTTTCACTCCTATCTGGGAAGAATTTAAATGTTTTATTTCTGGACTATAAGGTCTTCTTATGATATCTCTTTGCGTACCGGGTTTGGGAAGCATGGGCAGTGGTCTTTTTTGCCCAGGTCTTTCAGGTATGCCTGTTTTGAGTCGGCTCATATACCCTGTTCTTTCTGAATTTTCAACCTTTCCTTTTGTCCCTTGGCCCCCTTTGCTCAGTCCTTGCTTTCGCAGGAAAAGTGTTGTGTTTGTGAACCTTGATGTCTTTTCTTTGTTGTCACCAGCCTCCACATCTACCTGCACAGTCGCCATCTCCATGGTCATCCTAGTCGCAGGCACTGAGGCATTCCCTAAAGGCACGAATGAAGTTTAAAATATGGATTCAAATTTAACTTCTCTCTAACAACTCAGCTGGAGAGGGAAATCCTGTTAATAAAAAGGCGGTGTTAATGGAACAGGTTAAGTCAGTTATCCAAACAATTCTGGCATTGGGGTGACCACTATCCTTGTGACATCAGTAAGTTTTGGTCCCCTTTTATTCCTATAGAAAACTTTACATTGTTTACATTTTCTGCAAGAAAGAAGAAAGGTAAATTATTCCTGAAGAAATGTCAAATGTGGCATTGCTGGTTAGAATGATCATATTGTGTGTGTGTTGACACAATATTTTATTCTTCACAAAAAAAAAAAAACCAAGAAGACAAGATGATCCAATCAAGCACATTTAATTGACACGCTTCCCTTTAAACAACACTCTTTGCCTCGCCACTTATAAAACTCAATCACAATAGCCTGTACATTTCAACAGTGAGGTCACTGGATTGTAAATATGACAGATTGACTGGGCTATTCACAATCAGCATGAGCCTCACCTAAATTCACATCATCTGGTGGCTATAAATTAGTTCATTGACTTACTATGATGACTTTTCCTTGTAGTCTCATTACCTGGTGCATGCACCTGGTACGTACTTATGCTTAGCATGCAAATCCTACCTAATATCAGCATTTTCATTAAACAGTAAATATCAGTTTTTGATTGTGAAAAAAAAAAAAAAAAATAAATAAAATGTCAGACACAGTGTCTGGTGAAAATGAATGAAGAATGAAGAGGTATCATATCGTTCGTGATGACACTCAGCTCTATATTTCTTCGCATTCCCACGAAACATACCAATTCGCAAAACTAACGGAATTGATAGTTGATAAAGAAAACTGGATGACTAGTAATTTCCTACAGCTAAATTCTGAAAAAAAAACTGAGGTGTTAATTATTGGACCAAAAACCTCCGCATGTAATAACCTGAAACACTTGTCTTACACTTGATGACTGCTCTGTTAATTCCTTGTCATCAGTTAGGAACGTAGGTGTGCTATTTGATAGCAATCTTTCCTTTGAAAACCATGTTTCTAGCATTTGTAAAACCGCATTTTTCCATCTTAAAAATATATCTAAATTACGACCTATTCTCTCAATGTCAAATACAGAAACGTTAATTCATGCGTTCATGACCTCAAGGTTAGATTATTGTAATGCTTTATTGGGTGGTTGTTCTGCACGCTTAATAAACAAACTCCAGCTGGTCCAAAATGCAGCAGCTAGAGTTCTTACTAGAACCAGGAAGTATGACCATATTAGCCCCGTTCTGTCAACACTGCACTGGCTCCCTATTGAACATCGTGTAGATTTTAAAATCCTGCTAATTACTTATAAAGCCCTGAATGGTTTAGCTCCTCAGTACTTGAGCGAGCTCATATCACATTATAGTCCTCCACATTCACTGCGTTCTGAAAACTCTGACAATTTGATAATACCTAGAAAATCTAAATCAACTGCGGGCGGCAGATCCTTCTCCTATTTAGCGCCCAAACTCTGGAATAACCTACCTAACATTGTTCGGGAGGCAGACACACTCTGTCAGTTTAAATCTAGATTAAAGACCCATCTCTTTAACCTGGCTTACACATAACACATTAACACATTTCTAATATTCAAATCCGTTAAAGGATTGTTAGGCTGCATTAATTAGGTCAACCGGAACCGGGAACACTTCCCATAACACCCAATGTACTTGCTACATCGTAAGAAGAATGGCATCCCCAGCGAAGACCTCGTTGGCCATCGGCACGAGACCACAGGAACCACAATTCTGACTTGCGTTGCAGCCTGAAATTAAACCACACCATGCTGGTTTCATCTGGCCAGAGGAGAACTGGCCCCCGACTGAGCCTGGTTTCTCCCAAGGTTTTTTTCTCCTTTTTTGTTACTGATGGGAGTTTTGGTTCCTTGCCGCTGTCACCTTTGGCTTGTTTAGTTGGGGACACAATTTCTGGCAACATTGTTGACTTGACTGCACAAATTCTGTTTGAAGAAAACCAAACTGAGCTGGATGATGACATCACTGAATCAACGATGAACCGACTTTAACTGAAAAACTGTTTTCCTGTTTAACATTGTAAAGCTGCTTTGACACAATCTGTATTGTATAAAGCACTATATTAATAAAGGTGATATGACTTGACTTGACTTAAAGCAGGCATACATTAGACAAAGTATGTTAATAATTGCAGATGTTTTTGAAGGTTACAACTTGCTTTTTGCTGTCAATGCATATAATTTTGACCAATCAGCTTTCTTAAAGGGATACTCCACCCAAAAATCTAAATTCTCTCATTTTTCTTGCCCCCAGATTAGTTTCATTCTTCAGATGAATGCAGATGAAGATTTTTAGAAATATGACCGCTTGCCTCCAGTGGAAACAGCCCTGGTCAGCACATTGTGAAGAGTGACGTAAACACATAAAACTTGCACACAGAGAAGCACAGAGGGCCATCTATTCTCTTGTGAGATTCAAAATGCACTTACATCACCAATTATCAGATGAACTCCAAAAAAACAGAATCCACGATAAATGATGCGCACAAATCCATGACTAATGTGAGTGTTTGCTATGCCAGCCTTGGCAGCACACAGTAATAAGCCAGAGGGCAGCACAAAAGAACTCCATCCAAGGTGTCACTGTAAATGTGGGAACAATCAGTAGCAGAACGACCGATCAGGAGTTTTTGAAGGCTATTGCAAGAAATATAAAGGAATGTTTATTGTGTACAGGTGAACGTGGATGAGACAAACTAGTGGTTTACAACATCATGATTGATGAGATGAAAGTGGCAAAAATGATTTCTAATGTAAAGTGATAAATATGATATCAAATGTAGTATGAACTCTCAAATAAAATATGTACTCTCTCTCTCTTACAGAAAAACCACATGAAATTCACATGTGATTTTAACATGATTGCACATGTGAAAATGTGTGTTTTTTTCTTTAAGGGAGAGAGTACATATTTTATTTGTGATATTGATATTTATTTTTATTTCATACTACATTATATATCATATTTGTAGATAAATATAGGCCTGTAGCTATATACAGTGGGTACGGAATGAAGGTGTAGAACCATCTCAAGGATGATCAGAAGAAATGGACAGCACCTGAGTTAAATATATGAGTGTCACAGCAAAGGGTCTGAATACTTAGGACCATGTGATATTTCAGTTTTTCTTTTTTAATAAATCTGCAAAAATGTCAACAATTCTGTGTTTTTCTGTCAATATGGGGTGCTGTGTGTACATTAATGAGGAAAAAAAATTAACAAATGATTTTAGCAAATGGTTGCAATATAACAAAGAGTGAAAAATTGAAGGGGGTCTGAATACTTTCCGTACCCACTGTAGGTGACAGAATAATACACTAGGCTGTAGTTTCTGTAGTGCTCTTATAGGCTGTGTCCATCACTGTTTAGTGACGTCATCTTATGTTGCAGGAAAGCTGAATTTGTATGATCAGTATCGGTCACAACGCCTTTTAATTTCCATGTTGATCTGCCAATTATTCATTTATTAAGCACTGGTTACTTTGCAAACTAAACATTGAAATGAGATGACCGGATGTTTAACATTTTGTCATTCCCTGACACATTAGTCTGCACCAAAAGTACTTAGTAGAAACTCTGATAAATGACGTTTTTCTCTTGCATTTCTACTAAACGACCTCCTTAAGGGATTTCACTGTTGCTTCTCTTTAAAATATCAAAGCTTAGAAAAGGTGACATAGTATCGACCCTAATTACTATGGTCTTCTCAGAGGCAAACAGGCCTACTCATGCTTGTTCCAGTATTACATAGTGTGTGACAGCAGACACTCCACAGCTGACTATACCTGCTCATGTTAAAGACATTTTGCTCTTAACTGTAACAAATTTAAAGCCATGGTCCACATGATTTTATGAGCTTGAAGAGCTAATAAGAATTTCTGTTCAGTTGCATGCTGTAAATCATCTTCATGAGAACTCACCAGGAGTTGCCTGTGCGGTTGCTGGCAGGCTTCGGATGCTATCTTTCTCCGCCACTAATGAGATGTCATACAAGCGGCCCGGCTCCAAGCTGTCGATCTGGGCTGAATCCCTCTCTGGTGGCAGGTTCATCTCTGGAAGTCTGCTTGGTCCATCTGTCTGATTGGGTGCAATGGAGAGGACATACCTGTCAATCTCCCCCTGTGCCTTCTCCCATTGGACAATGACTGATGTAGTGGTTGTCTTCACAACTTGCAAGTCTTTTGGGCCAGAGATCACTGTCCAAAAATGAGTCCAGGAATGAATCACTTGTTACTAGAAATCTACAAAACACAAGGCTACTGGTTCTTACGATCCTGTTAGACTCACATGTGGTGAATTCTGCTGTGCTCTCTGTTCCCATAATGCCCTCTTTCTCTCCTGTGATGCTGACTGTATACTCCTGTCCAGCGGCCAGTCCAATCTGAGTGTAGGTGCTCAGTCTGCCATTGATTTTGGAGCGTATTTTCTGATCCGTTTCTTTCTGTGGAGAGAATACTGTAAAAATCAGTGCTCCCACATGACTTTAATTGCACATACCCAAACAAAATGCTAAATGTTTATTGCTCTGATATTCATGTTAGCTTGTAACATGAGCATGTTGTGATGTACTAAGTCTTTATTATATAAAGTGGATATCTACATCAGACACTCAATTTTCATTCTGTTTGTGTTTATTTACTGCTGTGATAAAACAGAAACAATTAGAGTCACTTAACTTATATTCTGTTTCAACCTGGTCATGAGAATTTGTTAGTGTTGCATGAGTTGGCAATTTTATATGAATTTGTACAGTCTGACTTATATGAAAACCATCTGTAGGTAAAACCATGAAGCTCCACCCATAAACTTAACCCTCAAAGAATATGAATGAGATTGTATGAATTCATGTGGATTTGCCAAATTGTAAAATAAGATCACACTTTATTTTGATAGTCCACTTTAGTAACTTTGCAACTATATGTTAACCAACTCTCATCTGAGTATTAGTAGACTTAGGTTAGGTTTAGGGTTAGTACAATAAGTTGGCATAAATTTAAAGTCAGCAAAACATCTGTTGAGCGACCATCAAAATAAAGTAATAGCAGATATTAATCAGACAGTCTAATACTCTAGTTGCTAGTATGCTAGTTGACATGTAGTTGCAAGGTTACTTATAGTGAGTAGAATGTCTAAAGTGGACTATTGAAATAAAGTGTTGTGGTTAAAGTGTATATAGTTTATACACTATTGACACTTTGATGATAATAATTAATAATGATTAATAATTAATAATTTATGCATTAAGAAGACTTTAGCAGATTTGATTCAAAGCAACTTACAGTGCATTCAGGCTATACATTTTTTTACCAGTATGTAAAATGATCAGTCAATAAAAGTTCAATATTACTAATACCATCCCTTCCAAATACTGTCTCCATTTAAATCTACACACATGAACATGACTAGATTGACTGCAAATTCATTTTCTGAATAAAATGTGGTTGGCTTACCAGTTCAAAACTTGTTTGCTGTTAGGCTGTTATGAGTGGTTGCCAGGCCATTGCTTTATAGTTGTTATGGTGTTGTGAATGGTTGCCAGGGAATTGCTAGGTGGAAGTTTGGTTGCACAAGTCTTTAAAATCAGCTAAATGAACAGTGTTTTCTGGCTTTACTGCTGTTCTTTATCAACACTATCCAAAATATCTCTGAACTAAATTGTACAGCCAGCATTCACAATTACAACTTCTTTCGAACAATGATAAATTCTTTCACCATAATGATTCTGCCTGTAATTGACACAATATCGTGGCTTAAAGAGAGTAATGAGAGTAATGAGTTTCCTGCTGGTAGTTCCTGACTTCAGTTTCAGTAAGACATTCATTATTAGACAGCCAGTATTTTACACATGACTGAATGAAAACTAGAGGGCCATTTATCTCATATATTGGAAAAGCCTCTCTCCAGCACTTCATTAGCCCTAAATTCACTACGCCAATTGTGTGGTGTTCTCCAGTCTTCTTGAGTTTTTGTTTCTTAAAAAAAATGTAATTGGGCCCTGCTGAGAGATAATCTTTCTACAACGTATCTAAAGAAAACATCACAACTGTGTACTTTATTGATGTCTTTCTGCCTGTTTTAGTTCTTTATCAATGAAGAGGACCGATTGCATATCTTGTGTTATTGGTGTTGTCCTCCTGCCGTCTCCAGCATGTCACAGCAGCTGTTCTGTGAGGTCATCTCTCTGGCTGTCGTGTGTTTTTGACCATGTTTATGCCTTTCATAGCAACAAGCATCCCACATCTGTCTCTCTTTCTCTCTGCTGCTCCCCTTCTCTGTAGCTGCTGATGGATTTCTGTCTTTCACTGCATTTTCTCAGCCCTGTCTCCAATAATCTGACTGAACTTTCTCTGCCCATCGTCATATTCTTCCTCTTTAATCCTTTGATTCATCTGATACTCTCTTGTATGTTGTTTCTGCCTACTTTCCTTCTTGTACTCTCCATCGTTCTTACACCCACTCATTCATGTTTTGTGTGAAAAAATGTGCCCTTTTCATTGTCTCAGTGGCTCCTCTGTATCTTTTTCAATGTAACTGCCATTAATATCATTTTCAAAAATATCTGTACACTGCTGAAACATGAGATCTTTACAGCATTTCCTTTTACTTTCTGTCTGGTATGTTATAACACGTGAACATGAGACCAGTGACCAAAGTCTAGCGAAAAAATAAAAAAATAAAATTATTGTTGTAGGTGGGGTCGCTGATCTTTGTTTGGTCAAGGATGTGGAAGATTCTCAAAATTCTTCTGTGGGAATCAAAGCTCCAAAGCAAAATAACTACACTTTTTTTGGGAGGAAAAAAAAAAACATAGAGAGCCACATATATGGAGAGTACAGTGGGACCATTAATAAAAATATTATATCATTTTGCTATTTAGTAAAAATTACATTATACATGATCTCAGTGTAAATTTGAACTGAAAAATGTACATCAATTTTAGAATTTCTTGGCATTTCCCCATGATCAGTGGCACTAATTTGGTTATTTGATTAGTGACCTAGAAATAATTTACATTGTAGCCTATACTGACTAAACCCAAAAATGTTATCTTTCCCCCAAACAAAAGTGACGAACAGCTCAAACGATTAAAGTCTAAGTATTAAAATTATCTGAAAACAGATTGCCATTATTATTGAAATTGATAAAACAGATTATTTTCCCTTTCGAGGAAACGAGGTGCTGCATTACGACATTGATGCTATGGGAACGCCTCGGTGTCTGAAGCATGAAGCATGTTATTGGTGTCTGAAGCATGTGTGCCAACTCAGTTGGCTGAAGGCAGTCACATGATGGAGCATGATGCACAAGCAATGCCATAAAAGGGTAGCTAGGTCATGGAATCCCCAGCTTCTTTGTTTTCAGGAAGCCAGCCGCTTTGTCTGTGTGTGCGTGTAAAGAAGTTGTTTGCAACAATGTGAGCATATGCATGTTCTGCATCGCTGTGTTTCATTATGGCTAGAGATGCACACAAGCTCTGAGCTATGGCTCTGTTGGCTCTCTTTGTGAAGGATGAGAGTCAAGCATCTGCAACTTGTGATTCAGACCCCGCGGCTGCTGAGGCAGCATTGCTGCTTTTGGTCATGGGGATTGCTGATAGAACCAGTGGATGAGCTTGAAAAGGAAGTTCCCTTTCTGCCCATTGCTCTGTGGCTGCTTCCGATCTGGCTCTGAATCGTTTCTATGTAGCATGCTCCCCAATGGATGGTTTGCTATAGGGTCTCTTTCTAGGCAAACAGAGGGTTGGTATGAGATTAATTTAACAGTGTTATTAAATTATTAGTGTATTTAATGATAAACTTACATTTAGCATTAGATGACCATGGATAATCTAAGGCCATGTCCACACGTACACGGGAGTTTTTCATTCTTCCTTTTTTTAAAAAAAATCTCCGTCCACATGAAAACGCAAACGCATGCTATGAAGCACTGTCAAAAGCATGCCAAACCAACAGGTGGCGATATAATCTCAACCGTAAAGCCATGTTGGCCAATCAGAAGCCTGAAAAAGTTTCCAGTAGGCGGAGATAACAGTGCACTACAACCGGCATTTTTGAAAATCTTCACCCTGGCAGGAGTTTTTAAAAATGTTTGGTTTCCGTGACCTGGTGCTGCGTTTATGTGTGGACGAACGGCCAAACCGCGTAGAAAAAGCTGCGGTTTTAAAAATAACCACGTTCGTGTGGACAGGGCCTAAGGATAACCTAACGTACAAATAGAGGAAATGAGCCTGGGCAATTAAATGCATGGGCTAATCCATTACTAGCTGGTATATATTCAATATCGAGTGACACCAATGCATTTCTATTATTGGCCGATAAGCAATATGGCACCAATGTACTATACATACTGCAATAATAAACATAAACTCTAGATTTTCCAAGATGCAACAGCTAGAGTTCTATAACAAGGAAGAATGACCCGGAAGAAGATAGCCCGGTTCTATCAGGACTACACTGCCTCCCATTTTAAAATCTTGCAGATTACTTATAAAGCCTGGAATGGGACTGCAAGCAGAAAATCCTTTATCTAGCACTCAAACTCTGGAACAATCTATCTAGCATTGTTCGGGAGGCAGACACACTCTGTCAGTTTAAATCTAGATTAAAGACCCATCTCTTTAACCTGGCTTACACATAACATACTATCACATTTCTATCATTCAAATCTGTTAAACGATTGTTGGGCTGCATTAATTAGGTCAACTGGAACCGGGAACACTTCCCATAACATCCTTATAACAACATTATCATAGTCAGCCAAATCCAGCTTGTACTCAGACCTGATTTTGGATCTGCACCCAGGAATGACCACAACACAGCCCTTAAAGGGAAGGCCATGACTATGCCACATCATGCCAGGACCAGCTGGGAAAGAACCGTGGTTTTACCAAGTCAAGTCAAGTCACCTTTATTTATATAGTGCTTTATACAAAACTATAAAGCAGATTTACAGTGTCAAACAGGAACATAGTTTGTCAGTAATGCAAGAAGACAATAACAAAGAGTTATTTTTCCAGCTAAAGTCAGTTCATTGAAGATTCAGTGATGTCATGTTTCATGTTCTAGTGCCACTCATCGTCCTTTCTCAATCCTGTCCCTCATCTCTCTCTCTCTCCCACTTTGCTTCCTCTCCATTATCTACACTGGTCTGTCCCAATAAAGCCAGAAACAAGAAGGACGTTCATTATGCTGAACTGATTGATCATGTAGCTAATCAGCTCATGGGGAAATATGAATAATTAATCAAGTTTTCTCTGCTTGCATTCCTTTGAGCAATAAAACCAGTGATATCAGCCTTAGTTGCCATGGAACCAGAGGCCTGTTATGCTTTCCTGGGGTGGTTACGCATTTCGGGGGAAGGGTCCATAGGTCCTCATATGGCTTGTTAACTGAGGGGTGTTACAGAGGATTTGTTAAATATAGCTAACAAAATATATATTGTGTGTTTGATTGGTCCAGATGCTACAATTAAACTGAACTGAACTTTGAACTGCTATAGAAATAAGATGACTTGACTTTACATGATTATTAGACTTCTCCTCTTGTGCTCTTTTTTGGGATTTTAAACTTTGTAGGAAGCTGTCTGAGAGCTGCGGATTAGACTGAAGCGATTCAAATACTGTTGCATGCGAAAATAATAGTTTCAGCATGTCGGGATATTTCAGAGATTACAGCATCATCACATTTCATTCCTGAAGCATCTGATGAGCCTGCTGCAGTCCCTCATTGATAGAGCTTACATCACCACCCCACAGCAGATTGATAGCATATGTTTCTTAATGAAAAACTGCTGACAGAAACAGGCCATCAAACTGAGCTGAAACATCACTGTAGTCCAGCAGCTGGTTGCAACAAACCCCTCAGTTAAGAAAGCCTGTATGGTTATTCCATTACAATTATAAGTAGGGGTTTTCATAGCAAAGAGACTGTTGCAATTCAGACCCGGTACTAGTTTAATATGAAGGGATATTTACAACACAATTTTGTATATTTGTTCAATTTAGGCATGCATTGTGATGTGTTTTCAGGGCGGAGGTTGAACTTTCTTTTTTAGTAAGACATTAACAAAAGAATCTTGGTGAAAGAGAGTCTATAACTGTGGGCAAGTCTGCGCTGTTGGCAGTGTAAGAGTGGTCACTAAAATGGTCAACTGTGGCAAAATTTCTGGATGAGGCTGTTGCGATATTTCTACCTTCCTTTTTGCACTTTCAAAGTGAATAAAATTTTCTGCAAAGACGAACTTGCTCTATCATGTGTGAAAATAGCGTAGCAGTTACACTAAACCCAACCCTAAACCTAACTGATAGTGTTAACAAAAGCAAATGTGCTGTAAAAACATACTGTATATGCTGAAGCAACCATTCCATTTTATCTAGCTTCTACAAGTCTTTGAGCTCTTTTATCGTGACTCACAGGGCTCGTACCTGAGCACTTAACATCACAAGAGCACAGGTGAATTACTGAGCAAGTTTACAAGCTTTCCAAATACAAACATGTCTTTGAAATAAAAACTGAACTGATAATAAATCAAACTAAAATTAATTTTTTTTTTTTAATTCAAAACTGTAATAACCAATGTCTTTCCAGTGCTCTTAATGGCTGGCACTCACTGCCTGCACTCATGAATCAAACCTGTGCTGCAGCATAAATGCTATAATAATTAGCCTCATCTCAGTCTAGCTCCCTCAGCTCTCCTACAAAAGCCTCCCTCTTCCTGGTCCAGAAATGAAACGTCAATAACGTCCAGAAGCTCCCTAACAAAACTTGACTTTATATAATCACTCGTAGTGATGGGCGATTGATATGGTTTCAGTAACACTGAGATGGTTGCTGAGGTAGAGATGGGCACTAAACATTCAGAGGGCTGTAAATCAAAACAAGGCTTCTATCCAAAGCAAATAGCTTGTTTTTCCACTGCCAGATGGGCTCATTTTATGTCTGTGTAAAAATTTATTTGTTTTTCCTTTGGAAAACACACTGAGCCAGATTTAAGTTTGGGCTGCTGTGGGAGTTGTTAAATGCTTTTCTGTATCTGATATCAGAAGAGGGTTTAAATCAACATAAACCAAAGGCTATTCAACAAATGTTACTAAAATGTATAAATCCTTAAATGATTAATTCAATAATTAATTGAAATAATACTACATTTTAAATAATCTATCATTTTCACATTCCACTATGTTGGCATTGTATGTTTTATTGTTAAATGCATAAAGGTTTTACTGAAAGGGTGAAATCCTGTTCACTCCATCTCTGAAGTGTTTGAAGAGTCTGAGCTCATGCCACTGCTAATAAGAGAGCAAACACAGGAGCTGATAGTCTCACGGCAGTATACAGTGGGTACGGAAAGTATTCAGACCCCCTTCAATTTAGCAAATGGCTGCAATATAACAGAGTGAAAAATTGAAGGGGGTCTGAATACTTTCCGTACCCACTGTATGTCTCTGACATGTAGTGCAGTTACATTGCCACTCATCGTCCTTTCTCAATCCCGTCCCTCATCTCTCTCTCTCTCTCTCTTCCACTTTGCTTCCTCTCCATTATTTACACTGGTCTGTCCCAATAAAGGCAGAAATGAATGATAATGTGCAGTAATGATTATCAATAATATGATTCATTTTCTTTATTCAAACTATAATGATACGTGTTTGTTTTGGGGTGGAATATGTTCCTGACAGTTTTCATGAGATTTACTCAAAATTACGAGAAGTCTTTGTCCTGGCAGGGCAGCATGGAAGTGACCTCATGTGTTCCCGGGTTGAACATCTACTGCTATTGTTCACCCATCTGTCCTTTTGAAGAGCTGACAATGAAATCAGTGCTTATTATGCTTATCATGCAATGTATCATAATGCATTTGTGTAATGTTGTTGCAGATGTGTGGTAGTGCATGCGGACGACTGTACTTGCCCTGCTGGTGAAGGAGATGTGGTAGGTGTCGTACTGCACAGCAGGTGGAGTCCAGGACAGAGTGACAGATGACTCAGTGATGTCCCTGGTACTGAGACGCGAGACGCCCGCCACTGCTGGACAGAAGATGAAATAGATTCAAGCACACTCTCCTATTTAAACCCAGCTGTTTCTACTTGAAACAATAACTGCAGTGCTGTATGTCTGAGTACTGCTGACCCGCTGCTGTATTCACTCACCAAGAGCACTCATAAAGACACAGTGAACACTTAGGGCAATACAACATATAATGTTGGAGTGTTACCATATGTGTAGACTATTTAAACACCTCCAAATGGAATATAAAGACGCTATTTAAAGTGTCTGTATCTGTAGAACTGTTATACCATCTGATCCTACCCAGTGAAAAAAGTAGACATAGTCAGAAGCTGTAAAAATCTGATATGGATGTCACTTTCCATGAATAGGTTCCAAAATATGGCTTGACACTCTTAAAGGGTCATGAATGACTAAAACGTATTTTTGAGATGTTATTATAGATGTATGTGTTGCATATAAAGTAAGATGAAAATAATTATAAATACACAGTAGCTGCAAGCAGCAATTATCTGTGCCAAGCACCCTAAGAGCAAAAATCAGCCAATTGTAATGTGATTTAATTGCTTATCATTTTTGACCAATAGGTGGCGCTGTTATCGAACTGATGTGGTGTGGTCAGTGTGAGGTGACTGACACACATAAAGATTGTGTTAATATGCCACACCGTTTCAGAGATACAGCCTGATGCAGTTTGGCATCATGTCATCAACATGAAATCAAGAACTTTTTGCCAGCATGGTCTGAAGATGATTCGAATGGAATCTGGTGAAAATCGGATCAACAGTTAATAAATAAAAATAATATGATAGATAATATAATTTGAAATATGAAGCAGCATAACAAATTGATTATATATATAATTTTTTAACAGCTCAAATATCTGGAAGCGGATGACATCAGAAGCCTTGCACCTTCAAGTAACAAATTAATGCACGATATCCATAAGATGGATCACACAAGTCTGGTTCAAGTTCTTTAAGCAGCCTCACATGCACATGAATTAATTAGTGTGTTATTTAAGAACAGTGTGACTAAAACAGCTGGAATAAAGAATTTTCAAAAGTTATTCGCATAAACATGAGTGCAAATTTGTAAAGATGGGCAGAAGATTGGAGTTTGAGTGTCCAACTCTGCTGTGCTTAATGTTCTGTCTGTGTGCTTTCCTATGTACGGTTCTGTGGGCATGGGACAATTACAATGGTAATTACAATTACATGGGACAGAAGTTTGGTACTAATAAATGCCAATTATTAATTTGAAGGTGAAAATAATAATACATCCCCCTCCCCAACATCACAATATGAGACTTTTTCATGTTCTATAGTGCAAGGGTTCTCAACTAGGGGGCCTCAGCAATCTTTCATAGGGGCTGCAGAATGACTTGTGATTGAATGCAGCATCACTCACCAGTGTCGCAGTTTTCCCCTGTGAACCCAGACTGACATTCACTGCAGTCGGGCCCCAAGAAACCACGACGACACACACAGCGGCCCCTCACACAGCGGCCCTTGTTACTGCAGTTGTTGGGGCAGGATTTGGTGGAGCAGTCTTGACCGGAGAAGCCGACATCACAGACACATTTCCCATTCACACATCTGCCTTTCTTATTGCAGTCATTGGGACAAGTCTTGGACGAACAGTCTGGTACAGTAAAACCGCTATCACATACGCACCGGCCGTCGACGCATCTGCCGTGGTTACTGCAGTCTCCAGGACAAGATCTGGACGAGCAGTCGGGGCCCGTAAAGCCGCTCTCACAGACACACTTCCCGTTTACACACTGTCCACGATTGCTGCAGTTATCAGGACATGTTTCTACAGAGCAGTCCGGCCCAGAGAAGCCAGGATCACAAACGCACTGTCCGTTCACACAGCGGCCCCTGCCATTACACTTCCCCGGGCAGGACATCTCTGAGCAGTCCTGACCAGTGAATCCTGAGTCACACACGCATTTTCCATTCACACAGCGGCCCCGGTTGTTACAGTTATCCGGACAGCCCCGTGTCCCGCAGTTAGGCCCGGTAAAGCCAGCGTCACACACGCACCTGCCGTTCATGCAGCGGCCCCTGTCGTTGCAGTTATCAGGACATGTGCTGGAGGAGCAGTCGGGGCCGGTAAAGCCTGGGTCACACACACACTGGCCGTACACACATCGGCCACGGCTGCTGCAGTCATCAGGGCAGTCCGGCATGCTGCAGTCAGGCCCACTGAATCCTGGGAAACACACACATTTGCCATCTACACAGCGACCCTGGTCACTGCAGTCATCCGGACACTCGTCGATTGTGGGACGAACGGTGGTACAGACCACACCTGTGGAGAAATAAGAACTCATTATACTGTCACATCGGGCACCGGCGCATTAACTGTGTCAGAGTGGAATAAAAGCTAAGGTGAGAGTTTTTATCCATTGGGAAATTACTGGATGGGGAGAACTGTGCATTGCATGGATGACTACTTCACTTCATTAATCTATCAAAAACACTGAATTCCAATTCAATGGATATTAAAGTTTCTCATTTGCATTATTCAGATAAAATGGTTGTTCAGAATGCTGAAATATCACCTGTTTCGAGGTTTCTGAGCTTTCAATATTTTTCTCAGTCAATGCTGTTTAACTGGAATATAGTTTACAGGTCATATGCACTAATTATATTATTAACTTGTCGTTGTCTTTAGGTCACGTCCCAAAACCATTCAAGCTGGCGGTTATTAAGCCTCTTATTAAGAAACCACAACTAGATCCCAGCGAACTGGCAAATTACAGAGTCATTTCAAATCTTCCATTTATGTCTAAAATTTTAGAAAAAGTTGTGTCTGCTTAATTGTGCTCCTTCCTGCAAAAAAATGATCTCTATGAAGAACTTCAGTCAGGTTTCAGGCCCCATCATAGCACAGAAACTGCACTTGTTAAAATTACAAATGACTTGCTTCTTGCGTCAGGCCAAGGCTGCATCTCATTGCTAGTTTTACTTGATCTTAGTGCTGTGTTCGACACTATAGATCATGACATACTCATAGATCGATTACAAAACTATACAGGTATTCAAGGGCACTTTAAGATGGTTTAGATCCTAGCTGTCCGGTCGCTACCATTTTGTTCATTTAAATGGGGAGTCATCTCAATTATCACCAGTAAAGTATGGAGTGCCACAAGGATCTGTCCTCGGTCCTCTGCTATTTTCAATATACATGTTGCCCCTTGCTAATATTATTAGAAAATACGGGATAAGTGTCCACTGTTATGCTGATGATACTCAACTATATATCTCAACAACGCTCCCTAAGGTCGCAAAACTCTGGACTTTTGGTAGTACCTAGGATAGCAAAGTCCACTAAAGGAGGTAGAGCTTTTTCGCATTTGGCTCCCAAACTCTGGAATAGCCTTCCTGATAACGTTTGGGTTGGGGTTCGGGTTTGGGTTAAACAAATCAATTTTGCTTGGTTGGAACAGCAGCTACGCTAATTATGTCTCTATTTGTTTCTCTGTTTCTGCTGGGATTGACATCCCGTGGTAACTAGGATTTACACAAGCTTCAGTCTGGATCCAGAACACCTGAGAAGAGATGATGCCAACCCCTCAGAGGACCTCAGATGATGCCAACCCTGAAACAACATACAGAACTACCACACTTTGCTATAAGTTTGATTGCATCATATAATAATTGCTGTTAATAGTGTTCATCGTCTGTTTGATAAATAAAATCTGTCTGTCTTTAATTAATTTTTCTGTACATTTCTGCCATATGTATATTAACTGAAAGTCAGCACTGATAAGCTACTACTAAATATATTGTAGAAACTTAATTTGATGTAAAGTTGCTTTGCAATGATTTGTATCGTGAAAAGCACTATACAAATAAACTTGAATTGAATTGAACTGAATTTAATTGAACTTGAGCCCCAGTACTTTTTTTTCAGCAATGCAAAACTACATTCATCCTTTCACAGTCCGTTGTGCATACATTTTATTCCTGTTCATATTTTGCTGTTCACATTGTTCATATTTATATCTAATCATCGAAGCGATGGTCATACTGTATCTGAAACAGTTATGTTTACTAGAGCAGCTTCAGCCATTCACACTTAGGGACTGTTCACACAGGATGTGTTTTTGCATTCCATTGGGTTTATTCTTCATATATTACTAATAATTATCCAATAAAAGGATATTTAATCATTTTAACTAGAAAACAAGACAAATATATTGATTGAGAACAGGACTGCAGTATGAAATGTTAGATGAGATTCTGAGATTAAGATCAAATGTTGCTTTTCTATTCTATTCTATTCTATTCTGTTATTATTATTATTATTATTATCATTATTATTATTATTATTAGTAGTAGTAGTAGTAGTAGTATCAAAGATACATCCTGGAAATAAGCAGGATTATGCATGAGAAACTGAATGCACTGGATTGCTTATAGAATTATCTGTAACAAATGCTAAAGGATTTAAATGGGATGAATATGAATATGAAAAGCAAACCGATACTACTACTACTACTACTACTACTTTTAGTTTATCTAGTAGGATCTGATTTGATCAGACCTAAATATGTCCTATAAGGAAATCCTTTAGGATTGGTCAGGATAGAGATTCCAGACATCCTGCACACACATCCATTAGGATAAACTACAGATATAGTTTTGACAAGCTTGTGAGAGCTGGTCTGGTTGGAGTGTGGCTGGAATTGGTCCCCATCAGGAAGGGCTTTACCTTTGCTCTGCTGGGAGCTGCAGCATCCTTCTGGACCTCCACATTTCTCCCTCAGATCAGACACCTCCTTCTCCAGTCTTTCAATACGCTCACGCAGGGCTGCGAAGTCCAGCTCACACTGACCACAAGCTGAACCTGACCCTGGCACCAGACGGATCCGATGGGTCAAGACCAGAGGAGAATCAGGATCCAAGTCTATCTCTCTCTCTTTGGCCCCATCTTGTGCACATGTGTCCGAAATAACAAGTTTAATAGGCTGGGGTTTGATGTTTCTGGAGACACGTTGAGCTGCTGTCTGCAGATGTTGACTGGAGAGGGCAGGACTTGGCAGAAGCAGAAGCAGGAAAGGCAACACTAACGCCATGTTTAAAGAGAGGAACACAACCAAATTAATGGATGATGTTTTGTTTTGTAAATGACAACGTATTTTATTCTAGTCAGTTCAGCACTCGAAACATTTCAATTCAGTATTTGCTGATACACTGTTGGCTCTTAGACTTGGAGTGATGTAAAACATTGCAGTGTCCTCTTGTCTTTAAGCCTCTGTCCCTCCTGTTTCAAACAAATATGAATTTCAGTCAGTTTTGTTATGCAGAATTCATATTAGACATTCACCATATAGAGGATAGATCAACATAAAAACAGCATTTGCAAGCCATTTTACTTCCAAATTTTGGGGTGGAACGGACGGTGTGAAAAATAATAAGAGGGACTGTTGAAAGTAGTTTCAGTGCCAAATTAATTTTGATGAAAGAGAAACTTTTTTGATGAAAGACACGTAATAAGTGCAGGAGTGTGTATTATGAGAGTAAACAGGGTCAGCTTTGATTTCATGTCGACTCTAGCTCAATGTCTGTCTGCCAGATCAAACCAGAGAAAGTAAATGTCACAACCTAAGCAAACATCCTTTCATGCTAAGATTTAATAATTTCATTGAAATATCTGAAAATACCACTGAACAGTCAGTCAGTTCTGGTCAGCACTGCCAGGTGAGAACAGAACTGAGATTTATGTCATGTTTTTTGGACATTATTTCATACTATGGAGTTTTGGACATGCACTACGGCAGTGTATAACATCAACGTACCATGGAAGCACCATTGTACTTTTCTCTAGAAGTATGTGGTAAATGAAAATAAAGGAATGAGTACAGAGAGCTCTTCAGCATCTGAGACAAAGCTGATACTGAAATATCACGATCTGTACAACTATTACCAAAACAGCTCTCTTTTCAGATAGGCTGGCCCTCAGTTCATCTCATTGGTTGGTCTCAGTGCTACTTTCCCATAAAAATCGGCAGAACAATAGTTCTAGTGCTTAGATGCCAGAATTTGATGCATGAAATAACTAGGCAGTGTTTCCTGAAACCACAGTAACTTATTCATCATTTGAGCCATGCTGGTTTAATAATAAAACATCAACTGATGTCATTAAAAGAGCATGGTCTGTTCAAGTGCATGTCATAACAAGAAACTCTGCTTCTAACCACAGGTGTAGAGCTTTTAGGGGTAACACTTTATAATAACATTCATTAATAAATCATTAACAAACATTATATAATGTTTAACTAATCATTACTTAATATATATTCACATATCTAGAAATATGAGATAATGTGCTTGTTAATGCTAACTAATGAACTTATTAAACATTACCAAATGATTAACAGATCATTATTTAATGTAAATTGAAAAGCTTACAAATGTCATTAAACTTTCAATTCATATGATCATGCATTTTTTTTAATCTTCAAATGATTTTGACAGATGGTTTACAATGATTAAAAGCTTCATTAATAAATCGTTAACAAACATTATATAATGCTTAACGGATCATTAGTTAATGTTTACAAATGTCATTAAACTTTTAATGCGTTTTAAAAATCTACAAATGATTTTTACAGAAATTATACAATATTTACATGCTTATTTGTTAATGTACTTTCGAATGATTACAAATGTCATTAAACTTCAGTTCACATATTAGCTAATGCTAATTTTTACATTTACAGATGTTGTGAAAATATAGCTTATAGGCACTTCACAACTATTCATCTTAAAGAGGTCATATGATGTTGCTAAAAAGAACATTATTTTGTGTATTTGGTGTAATGAAATGTGTTTATGCAGTTTAAGGTTAAAAAAACACATTATTTTCCACATTGACCGTTGATGCCGTGTCCCGGCTGGAGCGACGAGACAAAAACATTAAAACCCATTATAAACGAGGCATTTGTTGCATCCAGTGGGGACATAATTACTGATTATAATGACTTATACTGTCTTTTTATGCGTTGCATCGCGCCGCGTAAACATAAAACCATGTCTGCATTTGTGATCGGAGAAATGACAAACAACAAGCGCTATTCTACACTGCCCAAAACTCACGTTTGAATCATCAGTGGCAAATCCTTTAAATATAAAAA